TTTATGTATGATATAATACTAACTTTTTGATGATCTGTCAGATTATTTTATGTCTGCTCTACTTTTCAGAATTATAATAAAATCCTAAAGAAGTGAACTAGATACTGAATTTTATCAATAACGTAAAAAAAAGGCAAACATTAAGAAATTTTAAAATGTGTATATTGTATACAAAGTCACGACAAGCTTTTGGGAATGCTCCGCTAATTGTTTGAACATGACCATATGTTATGTATAAAGTCACAACAAGCAGTTAGGACATCCTCAAGTAACTGTTCGAACATGACCATATGTTATGTATAAAGTCACAACAAGCAGTTAGGACATCCTTAAGTGACTGTTCGAACATGACCATATGTTATGTATAAAGTCACAACAAGCAGTTAGGACATCCTCAAGTAACTGTTCGAGCATGACCATATGTTGTGTACAAAGTAATGACGTAATGATTCATGTTATCAAGCTATGAAAACGAAACCTCAATAATATATTTATTAGTAGTTTATTAATAATAATAATCATTCATGTAAAATTCAATTTGAAAATATACAATGTTTAAAGAAGAATTGCTAACTTAAAACTATAGTAATGTTTTAATTTTTCTTTTTTCATTAGATTTTGGCTTCAATTTGAATTGAAGCATAGTAATCGAGGAAAATTTTATGCTAAATTAACTCTCGTGACCTCATCATCTACTGTTAAAATAAGATTAGTTAGTTTGTTAAAATCTGGATTAAAATAAGGTTACTGAGTTTATTAAAACGTGGAAAAGGAGATTGTGAGTTTATTATAACTTGGAGTAAAATAAGATTAGCTGATTTATTAAAACTTGGAATAAAATAACATTACTGAATTGATTAAAACTTGGACTAAAATGACATTACCGAGTTTATTAAAACGTGGACTAAAATAACATTACTGAATTTATTAAAACTTGGAATAAAATAACATTACTGAATTGATTAAAACTTGGACTAAAATGACATTACCGAGTTTATTAAAACGTGGACTAAAATAACATTACTGAATTTATTAAGATTTGGACTAAAATAACATTACTGAATTTATTAAAACATGGACTAAAATACCATTACCGAGTTTATTAAAATGTGGACTAAAACAACATTACTGAGTTTATTAAAACTTGGACTAAAATAACATTACTGAATTTATTAAAACGTGGACCAAAATAACATTACCGAGTTTATTAAAATGTGGACCAAAATAACATTACTGAATTTATTAAGACTTGAACTCAAATAAGGTAACTGAGTTTCATGAAACATGAATGGTGCCCTTTACTGACACAAGCAAATCGCACTGAATGTGTTCCAAACATTGTGTACAAAATTGATAAATCTCGTAGTAAAGTGAATAAATAAACTTATGAAACGGCTATACGAGAATTCGAAAAACAATAAAACGACAAATTACAATGTTTTAACCTGATTACTTGTCATTTGACAGGTAAGGTTATGGGTTCTAGTCATGATTAGTAAGGCCTAATTATTCGAACGGTAGGATGTTTTATTTTATTACTATTTGCTTTAAAATCCAATAAATAGAAGATATAATAAATATTTTCCATTGCACTGTGACTAAAGAAGACACGGTCAGGCAACCATACATATCTCGTATTAAAAAAAAAAGATGATGTTAAAGTAATATGAAGCTAACACATCCTGTTATCCCAGCTATATATAGATGTTTTCATAATGTATTATTCTAAGATAGCTAGTTCACCGCATTTTGAATATGTAAAACTTTTCACTGATATTTCTTGGTTGGTTTTGAATTTCGAGCCAAGCTTCACGAGAGCTATCAAAGCTAGCCTTTCCTAATTTAGCAACTATACATTACAGCGAAGGCAGCTAGTCAACACCACCCACCGTCAGTTATTGGGCTACTTCTTTACCAACGAATTGTGAGATTGACATTTGTATTATAACGTCCACACGGCTGAAAAGGCGATCGTGTTCGGTGAAAGGAATTCGAACCTCAGATTGCGAGTCGAGCGACCTAACCACAAGGCCATGCCAGGTCTTTATGACATTTTTCTTCTTTGGAAACGTAAAGCGTTTCATTGCAGTAAAAAGTGATGAAATTTTTATGATCTTCCTTACCATTGACATAATCACTTTTTGCTGATTATCATTAATAAAATATTCATCCTTCTAAATACCGAAGTTGGATGCCTGATTTTTCTTTTCAGAAGATGTTTTTTCGCATGACTGAACTGGTTCTCTAAACTCGGATAACTATCGATGCTTTCTTCTTAATCTCTAGAACAGGCATTCCCAACCTGGGATACATGTACCCCCAGGGGTACATTTGCACTTGTCAGGGGGTACATAGGGATATGAGAATATAACCATGGTTTACACTTTACA